GAAGATTGTCAGAAGCAGGGAATTCATTTCAGGGCTGATCAATACCAGACTTGCCTCAGGGGAGAGAGACTCCCACTAAAGCTATGCCACCTGTTCCTAAAACCACTTCAAAAGGAAAGGGTTTCCTCAGGCAATATGAAGCTGACTTTTTAAAATGTGAATACACGTCAATTGAAAAAACAAAAATATATCACCATTTGCATTTTACTTAGCAGTTTTGTATTAAACTGTATGCATTAAAACATTAAGTATTGTCATTCATTTGACTGATAACACTTTAAAGCTATTAGTCAGGTTAGAAATATACAAAGTATCTAGGTAACACAAAACTGTGTACAAGGTCAATCCTAAATAGTAAAGAGCATTTTTCACACTCATAATTTGCTTATTGGCATTTTGATTAGGAAATGTGTATGGTTTAAGTCAGGTGAGGATTGCTATTCTAATTTGATGTTTGAAAAAAACAGACCAAGGGAGAATGAGTAAGTTTATAAAGATTACACAGCTTCAATTTTAGAAAAACAACAGAAAGAGGTTTTCTGATAATGTTAGAGAAATGGAAAAGTTAGAACAAGTTTATCAGGGTTGTTGCTCTTGCAGACAGCCCAAGTTTGACTCCCTGTACCCACATCAGGCTGTTCATAACTGCTTGTAACTCCAGTTGTGGTATTATGGCCTCCATGTGCACTGGATACATGAAGAAGCTCAGGCATATGGATATATAATATATATCTCACAAAATGAAAATACATTGTTCTAAACACACAAATACATGAACTTTTACCAAAGTTAGAATCAAATATAATGAAGTACAAAAAGCCCCTCTAGCTTACTACTGAGATTTTTTTAGAACTCGTTAGATACTGATAAAAAAATGATGCAAAATTAAAAAAAATATTACATGATAACAATCATAGTAGAAATTAATGAAACACTAACAAAAAGACAAAAATAGCAGAAGGAAAACTAAATCTTTTAGATGTTAAATGCAAGCAGACTTGTGGGAAAGTAGGAGAGAGGATGAGAGGGAGGGGACAGGAGCTCGTCAAGAAGATCAAAAGAGCGAACTAGCCAGGGAACAGGGGTGCTTATGGAGACTGAAGCACCAACCAAGGACCATGCATGTACTGACCTATCTTCCTATATAGAAGTCGCCTTTTTGCAGCACCACCTTCATGTGGATTCCCTAGTAAGGGGCGTGGGGACTATCTCTGACATGCACTCTATTTCCTGGTTTTTGATCACTTCTCACTGGGAGGGGGGCCTCAATGGGCCATAGGGGAAGAGTATGTGTTCAGTCCTGATGCAACTTGATATGCTAATGTGGGATGGTAGGAGGATTCCCCTTTTCTGAAGAGTAGGGGAGGTGGATAGGGGCAGAGCGAAGGGAAGGTGGGACTGGGGCCAGAAGAGGGAGGGGGCTATGATCACATCACGATGAAAAGTGAACTAAAAAAATTATAGATTCTGTGCAAAATAAAAAAAAATAAAAATTTTAGAAATTAAAGGAAATGTTTCTGAGATCCAGAAAGAGAGAAATAACATTACTACAGACTCTAAAGATCTTAAAGGGATAGTCATGAGCATTATGAACAATGGGCTACCAATAAATTAAAGTGGCATATTATATTAAATGAGAATTTCTTTGAGAGAAATTACCAAAGCTTACCAAATGAGAATTACGCATTCTAAAAAGACTCAAAAAAAATTGCAACTGTAGTTAAAATTTTTGCACAAAAGTTTTACTATTAGATACTGTTACTCATGTCTAATACTAGACCATGCAGAGAGTTTACAAGAAATAAACTAATAGACTTTTGCTTTTGTCAAATGATTTCTGTTTTCCTATTATACTAATGCTTTTTCTCTTTTACCGGTTGATTGATTGAATTTCCTGAATCATATTAAAACATGAAATGAAGCATGCATATACCCTAATTTTTAATATGGAAAGAAACACATGAACTATATGATATACACAAACATGTCAACACAGAAGACAGACATACACTTGTAGATATATATATCTGTGGATTGACTATTATCCCCCACGAAATTCAAGTGTTGAAACTACATTGTTAATGTTGCAGAACTATAAAATAAGTGGGCCATGAAAGTTTGCCTTCATGACTGGGAATAAGTCCGTGAATTAGGAAGAGCAAGCATGTTGTGAACACCTTGGCTATCCTACTCTATTCCATCCTGCCCATGAGAGCAGCATTCACATCACTTAGAGAATCCAGCAATCCTGTGCCACCGGGGAAGCAGAAATAAATAGCTCCATCTCTTTTTTATCGTTTATTATTCTCCACCGAGACACGAGAGAGCACTCTTCTCTGGAGTTCCCCTTAACAACACCTTCACCATTTATGACCACCTAAGCAATGAAATTTAAAACTAATTACAAACAATACCTCAGTGCGATGAGTTTAGATATTCCATGCCTGGCAGCAGGAGGTGAAACACAAGCATGGAGTATAAGGCCAATTCACAGATCATTTGCATTTGTCAAACATAATAATTCTATGCTCATAGATACAGAAAGATATAAATGTAGATATAGGGATATAGATTTAGCAATACAGATATAGAAAAATATGTAGATGGTAGAGAGATAGATATAGAAATGTTGATATAGAAGGTGAATAGATAGATAGACATATAGATAGATGATAGATAGATAGATAGATAGATAGATAGATAGATAGATAGATAGAATTATAGATAAGCATGGTTAACTGATAAACTAGGGCTAAATTTAAAAAAAGTGAATAAATTTTTATATGCACTGGTTTTCAGTTCAGTTCTATAGAAAATTCCTTTTTCATTTGCAAAAATTTTGTTGAAATGACTGTAAAATTCATGGAAAAATATATAAAATTGGCTGGGGACATATTTCAGTCCCTTAAGTATTTGGTGGGCATGGAGATCTCTGTTAAATCTCTGTTCCTCTGTTATAGGAGCCATATGAAAGTCTGTATTCAGTGGTGGCATGGATTAATAATACCAGTTCTAAGGAGACAAGTTGGGGCAGATCTCTGTGATTTGCTTCACACCAGCCTAGCTGCATTCGAGAGCTCCATGTCTAGTTAAAAGGTCCTATCTTAGAAAAAAAAATATTGATGGAACTTCGTAGAAAAAAAAAACATACAAAATTGACTTATAACCTCTGCACAAGCAATCACACACATACCTTCTGTGCCTGCACGTACACACACACACACACACACACACACACATACACACACACACACAGACAAGCACACACAATCCCACTCACTGCCAACACATACAGTTTCATTTTTATACAAGGGGCTTTGAATAGCTGAAACAGTCCTGGAAAAGAGCATCACTGTAGGATTTAACGTTGCCTGATCTCAAAACTTACAAAGGTACGATAGTTAAGACAGCTTGGAAGTGACACCCACACAGGCAAATATAACAGGGACTGGAGAGAGGCCATGGATGTTAAGAACACGTACTGATCTCTCAGAAGATCAGTTCTGAGTTCAGTTCCTAGCACCTATATCAGGAGGCTCACAAATGCCGTTAGCTCTTGCTCCAGGGAAATCTAGTGCATGGGGCCTCTGCCAACACCTGCTCGTACTTGCACACATGTAGACTACCCGCAGAGACATAGACATAATAAAAATAAAGTAATCCTTCAGAAAAATAAATAAATTTTATGGAATTTTCATAGACACACAGAGCAAGTTAAATTTTAAAAATTTATAACCCCATTTTAATAAATATTATTTTAATAAATCAGAGTAATTTAATGTGCAAGAATATAGACTACAGTAAACACTTGCATCACATAAAATAAACTCAAAACATTACGAATATTATTTCTTAGATCTGACAAATATAAAATTTCTGAAATGAAGATTATCTCTGTGCTACTGGAGTTACGCAAATATCTCTCAGATATTACAATAGATGAATGAACTGGATTTCTTCAACATTATGAATATCTGGGCTTTAAAAAGCACTTATAAGGAAAATAAATACCAAAAGGAAGTTGAAGATAAAATGCAAATCATGTATAGATGGTTTTAATGAGTTTTGGAATTCATATCTGCATATTGGGATAAATGCCCACAGAATGTTTAGAAAAGCCACAGGGAAACTCATTATTTAATAAACCTACTTTAAAATTCTCATATAATATTTATAAATAACTTTACACAGACACACACACAATCATATGTTTTAATGCAGTTTCCTCCTACAGTGGGATAATGGCGCTCCCCAAGGAGCCACAGACTAACAAAATCTGTAGTGCCAGGCTGGGCACATCACCCTTCTGGTTGTTGGTCAGAGGGGACCAAGAGTTCCTCACAGCATTATAGGCTGTGCCATTGTTATTGGTCGCCTACCAAACTGTGGACGTAACACCCTATCACTGAAGATACCACACAGCTGGTATTGAGCTGTAAATCTTTTCACATATGTCAAAAGGCACTATACAAGGTATCAAGGAGAGAGGCTGTCAACAGCTCTATCCATCCATTATCCTTAAGAACAACACTAGTTATGGACTAGTGAGATCTCCCCAACAACACAGTATGTCACTAGCAGCATCGCAGTAACCAACAGCTGCCTAAATGAAACCACAACCTTATTAAGTGAATGGGATATTCTAAACCTAGGCAAGGACTCATGGGTCAAGAGGTCACAGGCCTGGAAAAGAACATATTACTGCAATATTACTAAAGTAATTCAGCTTTCAACTGCTTCCTAACTAATCATCTGTATACTCACAAATAATTGTAGGTAGCAGTCCTTATCAAAAAACTTATTTATTTTTCCAGCATGGAGAAGATTTTAAAAAGATCCACAACTGATAAAAAAAACAAACAAACAAACAAACAAACAAACAAACATACAATAAGTGAGCATGGTGTGTCCAAACACAAATCAGGCATCTGTAATCCAATCCCTATACCTAAGGCTGGGGGAGCAACATCATGGAAGAAGACATAGAAAGATTATGAGGTGCTCGCTTCGGCAGCACATATTAAAATTGGAAGTATACAGAGGAAATTAGCATTGCCCCTGCACGAGGATGACATGAAAGTTTGTGAAGCATTCCGAAATATTTTTAGCAAGATAGGAGAGGGGGCACAGTGAGTTAAGATGTTAGACACCAGACCTGGAGACAATGAGGGCAAGAGGACAGAAGGCCTGCAGAGAAAAGAAAAACTGAGGGAATGGGTATCTCTGTGACAAGCTGGAGACCTAAGTCAGGGTAGGCTCCTGGGAGGATAGGAGGAAGATTCAAGCAGTGACTCCTACTAGCAGAAACCACAGAGACTGAAGAGAACACCCCCTAACTAGACTAGTCTTCTAGCAGAGGGAGGGAAACACCAACCCAGTCACAATTTATTCTGCCTACAAGATGTGCAGGGATAAAGATAGAGCAGAAATTGAGGGAATACCCAACCAATGTCTGGCCCAACCAAAGACTTGCCCATTCAGAGAGTGCCAACCCCTGACACTATGAACGATACCCTTTAAGCTTGCATACTGGAGACTGACAGAGTTGTCCTCTGAGAGACTCTACCCAGCAGTGCATCAAAACAGATGCTGAGACTCACAGGCAAGCATTAGGTGATGCGGTGCATAGGGAGTCTTGGGGAAAGTAGGAGGAAAGAGAAAACCTGCAGATGACACCTCCATAAGAAGACCAACAGAGCCAACTAACCAGGTCCCAGAGTGGCTTGCTGAAACTGAAGCACCAACCAAGGACCATGCAGGAACTGGACCTAGACCCCATAAAATGATGTAGCAAATGGGAAACTTGGGCTTCATTTGGGTCCTCTAGTAATGGAAGTGGGGACTGCACCAGGCAGGGACTAGCTTGCCACTTCCCCCCGGAAGGACTGCCTTGCCAGAGGAAGACAGCATGCTCAGTCCTGATGTGCTTGATGCTGTGTGATGGATGGGAGAGGGAGTTCCTTTTCTGAGGAAAAGGGGAGAGAAAGGAGGGAAGGTGAGACTGGGATGAGTCTACAAAAAAAATATGTGCAGTGAATTAAGACAAGGAAAAAAATGTGAGGCCCCTCCTCAAAGAAAAAAGAAAGATTATAAGAACCTGTGTACTGACATGACTTCTCACTGATAATGTCTTCTTTGTATGACTGGGATGTTCATCCTATGAACTCTAAACATGGTCATCTGCATAAGACCTGAAAGGCCGCTCCAGTCAACATGCCAAAAGGGATGGAGAAAAACATCACAAGGCCACACCCAGAGATAGAGTTACAGGTGGCCAATGTTAGTGAGGAAGAACCATTCTGTGTTTATTGTTATTATTGTTTACTTTAGTCAGGGATGGAAATCCAAGCCTATATGATAATCCCTAAATACATACAAAGGAAGGCAGTAATAGGACACAGGAATGCATACACATATATTCTATTATTTATATATCATATATATGTGTATGTATATAATGAATATGAACACTATATATATAATGAGAGGTCATAAATTTGAGAGCTGAGAGATTGATGGGAACAAAGGAAGAGTTGATAAAGCAGCAGAAATGACACAATTACAGTATACTTGAATATGAAATCCTCAAATATAGGAAGATTTTCAACTCTGAAATCAATAATCATTCCAGTCTTGGTCATTTGTGGACATTCATGGAGCAGTGGAAACTCAAGTTCTCTGAGGACAGATTTTCAACTGAGGTCACTCAAAGTTTGTATTCTAAACCTGCAATTCATTGTCATTTTGTGGCTATGAAAAATAACTGGAGCATTGATATACTAACAGTACTCATATAAAACAGTCCTACAGACTGTGAAAATAATATGATTTTTTTAAAATTTTAAACTTAAATTTTCTATATGACCCAATCCATCCATTCTGTGTTCTAATGAATTTTCATGTTCATATATGTAAATTATGCAAATACATTTCTGAAAGCCCTCAATCAGAAAGAACCTGTATGTAAATGAAATAAATATTAATCTATGGGATAGCTAAAATGGAATATATTTCAACCATAAAAACAGCAAACTACTACAAATATTAATGACTCACAGCAATTGAGAAGAGTGTAATATGCAGGGCTGTCGCACTCAAGAAGATATTCGGCAACTCTGTTTATTCAAAATTACAGGAAACAGGTCCCTGGTTCCCAAAAGACAACACTGGGGAGAAGAATGAAGGGAGATGGAAGACAAGACAGGAAGGAGCAGCTTGTAGGTTTGGGAAAAGCATTGTACATAATACATGGAGTAGCCTGGCACAGTGATGCACAGCTGTAACACCAGCACTCAAGGAGGTGGAGGAAGTCTGGTCTTTGTGAGATCGAGGCCGGCCTAGTCTACAGAGCGAGTCCAGGACAACCTAAGCAGAGAAACAAACAAAATCATGGATTACTTTCTGGTAAGACTTAATGCACGTATCATTTGGTCTTTCCAATAGGGGTTTGGAAGGCTCTCCGAGATAGCAACAGCATCGAGACACTCATAGTTCATGTTTATTTCACTCATGAAACATGTGAAAAGTTTTGTCATCTCTAGCTGAGGTTCAAAGAAGTTAATAAATTTTCTTTCTATTATGAGTGCAGTGTTTGCCTGGGAGTGTATCCTAAATGCCATTGACTGTAGATGTCATCTTTACATAATACCCTTTGACTCTGCAGTTAGGTAGGTCACATTGTGTTGAATGTTATTCTGGTGTCACGTGTCATGGGACTCTTCTTCCTGTACTTATTTTCCTGAAATGGATTATCAGAGCCTTATCCACATCTAATGTGTTCTCTGCCCTGACTGTGTTTTCCGGAGCCTTTCATTTGCAAGATTAGTCCCTCCTGTAGCAATATAATGAACAGACTGTTCGTGTAATAAGTGCATATTTACAGATTTTTCCCATATTAAAATGTGTCTGGAGAAATGTGAGCATTTCCCGGTTAATTATGAAGCTTCGGCTGTCTGCAAGAGAGAAAACTGTGTTGACGCTTCAGTGGTTTAAATTAATTACTTGTTTAATAAGACCTTCTATCTTTCTGAAGGAGAATGGTTAAACAGCAGTGTATCCGAACACAGTCACCATGAACCTCACTTCCCTGGAAAAAGTACCATATTCAGGCAGGAACATAGTTTGTACAATGACTCTGAAACTGAAGAATCTTTCTGAAACTAAAACTAGAAACTTTTACTCTGTTAATGTACCTGAGTTTGTTTTCTGTTATATAGACATAGTAAATATGTATTCTTTAATCTTATCTATCAATCAATCTATCTATCGATCTATCTATCTATCCACTTATGTATGTATTTAGTGGGGTTAAACATTTTATTGTCTTTCCAATTGATTTCATCTTCCCCTAATACCGCTCTCCCAAATTAATGTCTACATTTTAAATACTTTTGAAGATACACTAAGTCCAGTTAATGCTACCCACAGATGTCTGTTGTAGGCCAGCCACCCACAGGAGCACGGGAAATATATCAGTGTGCATGTCTCCAAAACTGAAAACGGTTCTTCCTTTTCCAGTAGCTATGAATTGTCAATAAGTCCTGAGGAAAAAAAAAATGTGGCCTGGAAGATGTATCTCCCATCCATTCGGGAAGATAGAACATGTATATGAAGCCACATCGAGTGTAAGTCCATGAATGCAATATTCATGTCAAGAACAGATTTGAAGAGGTGTGCACGCATTGCACATAATCCTGTATGTCCACATAAATGTACAAAACCCCAAACCACCTTTGGCATTAATTTAAGACAAAGTTAGTAGGTCTTCCTACGGATCATGAATGAGTGATTTCAACAGCTCTCTGCCTTAAATAACTTAACTAATTGATAAACAATAGAATTTTCTTTCACTTAATGACACAAACACAACTACCTGAAGTCCAACAGGTTGTTAAGAACTAATCAGTTCTGAAACAGAAACCTCTTAATCTCACATGTAGGCATTTATATAAATATTAATGCAAAATTGGCATTTGACTGAAAGCACTCATTAAGCATGGGGACAGAGAAGGCACAATGAATGATTATTTAGCAACTATTTAATTGTAGTCTACAAGATGATATAAAGTTTGTTGTTAAGGATACCAATAGAGTTAACTGAACACATAAATTAAACTTACATGAACTCTGGAGAAATAATACATTCAAAAATTCCACAAAAAAGTTTATTTCTTTTTATTCCTAGTGCTTCCTATATCTCTACAGCCATCTTCAACTGTAACTAGGTATATAATACAGGTTCTGAAGATTCAGCTTATTTTTGCTTAACAGATTAAAAAAGTGAAAATGGGGATGCTGTTGCCAATCATGAATCAGAAGTGAGCAATTATTTAGAGGCATTACTTTGATCTACTATCTAACCTGTAAAAATAATGGATCTTTATGCTGTTCTTACTGGTCTATGACACACAATTCTATGCACCTTGAATTTTACAAGCAGCTGTGAATTCCTTCTTGAAAATGAATAAGTAATTAATTAAATATGGTTAAGATTTGGAATTCATAAGATAGAATAGTTTATTTGGGAAAATCCAAACTCAAAACTTCAGATCTACAAGTTTCCTTGCCTTCAAGATTGCTGGGGTAAAGGTGGTAGAGAAACTAACGCCATTAGAGGGAGCCCACTCCTGACATTAGTTAGCCGGCCCAGGCTATCTGTTGCTAGATAGCCCAGAGACATAGGAAATAATGAAATAAGACTGGAAACAACAAAAAAGACAATGAGATGACTCCTAGATTCCTAACGATATTCTGCTATACTCACAAATTGGTGCCTAGCCCAGTTGTCATGAGAGAGGCTTCATCCAGTAACTGATGGAAACAGATACAGAGACCCACAGCCAAACATTCAGCAAAACTCAGAGAATCCTACAGAAGGGCAGCAAGGATAGTGGGAGCCAGAGGAGTCAATAACATCACCCAAAACCAAACCAAACCAACCAAACAAAAACAAACAAACAAACAATCCCCCCAAACCAAACCAAACAAAACCCGCACAGAATCAACTCTCATAGCTCACAGAGACTGAGCTGCCAACCAGTGAACTTGTATTGGACTGTGACTGGGCACATATGTTACAGATGTGTAGCTCGGTTTCCTTGTGG